CAACAACAACAACGCTACCAGAGCAGAAAAATCTAAATCTTCAGAAATAACTTTGATAAACTCCATACATAGGATTGTACTTATTTTAACTATGATTGTACTGATTTTAAGATGCCACAGAGATCCCCAACTGGCACAAATGGTTTGCACTTAACTTGGCTAGTGTTTGGAACCCACCCAACAATTCGTCTACTTCAGTAAAAATTATAGCCAAGAAAATCCTATGGAGCACTTCTATTTTATAACACATGGGGTTACCGTGAGTCAGAATCAGCTCAATGGCAGCATATTGTTGTTTTCGTATTTTATTAACACAAGTGAAAATTTAGCCTCTCCTTGAAAAAATGTGACGATAGACCAAAATGTGTTTACTATCCTAAGGAACTAATTGGCCCAAGAAAATAAGAGCAGAATTTTAGATTTAAGTTTTTGTTCATTTCATTTTCTTTTTTGGAAATCACTGTTCTATTGTTAACAAATCTCTAGTACTCAGTCTTTTTTAATACAAGAAGGCTTCAAAAGTTCATGGAAAAATGGAATTAAAATATAGGAAAAATTTCCACAAACTACTTAAAGCTCCCTCAGATATTTTGAGATATAGACTCACTTAGCTTAAAATGTACAGAGAGATGTGTAGGCTACTGTTGAACTGAAGTAGAAAAGATCTTTAGTTTTACCAATTTCAAAATAACATTAAAATATGTAAATCATATCCACACCTCCTGCTGTGGCACTGTGGTATAAAACACTGGACCTCAAGGTTGATTTGAACCACGAAGGTTGGCGGTTCAAACTCAACAGTCATTCCTTAGAAACCCTACTCAGGGTGACTATGAGTCGGAACTGATTCAACGGCACCTAACAATAACAACAATCCTCAGTAATTAAATAGTGTTTGATTCATCTGACTTGAGTGAAAATTTTATTTTCCCCCCCCAATATATTCAGAAAGTAAAACTTAGAGTTACAATTTTTTCTTTTAAAAGCAAAATATACTTTGTTACTATAAAGCTTTCAAAAAAGCTAACTACTCATAATAACATTTGTTGTTGTTGTTGTTGTGAAGTGCCGTCGAGTCGATTCCAACCCATAGCAACCCTAGTATAGGGTTTCCAAGGAGCAGCTGTTGAGCATGAACCGCCAACCTTGCAGTCCAAACGGCTTTGCAGTCTGGCGCATTAACCCCCAGCGCCACACCAGGTGCCATCAAGTCGATTCTAACTCATGGAGACCCCATGCACAACAGAACGAAATACTGCTCGGTCCTGTACCATCCTCACAATTACTGTGATGTTTAAGCCTTTTGCTGCTGCCACTGTGTCAGTCCATCTCATTGGGGATATTCTTCTTTTTCACTGACACTCCACTTTACCGAACATGATGTCCTTCTCCAGGAACTGGTCCTGCCTGATAATATATCCAGAGTATGAGAGACGAAGTTTCACCATCCTGGCTTCTAAGGAGCACTCTGGCTGTACTCCTTCCAACACAAATTTGTTTGTTCTTCTGACAGTCTATGTACTTCTAAGATTCTTCTCTAACACCATAATTCAAATGCATTGATTCTTCTCTAGTCTTGTTTATTCATTGCCCAATTTTCACATGCATATGAGGCAATTGACAATACCATAGCTTAAGCCAGGTGAAACTTGGTCCTCAAACTGATATCTTGTGCTCTTGAACACTTTATTTTTCTTTTTAAGTATTATTGTGAATTAAGTGAAAGTTTACAGGACAGATCAACAGTTTTACATTCAACAAATCATATACTTTGTTTCATTACAATGATTATAATCCCTTCCATGTACCATCAGTTAACAGTATTTCACTCTATTCATTTTAGCTCTGTGTTTTAAACACTCAGGTATATATGATAATTTACACC